CGCCACCACAGAAACATAACTAAATATATTGTATTTATTGTATTTTTATGATTTATGATAAAAACAATAAATATTTGCGTAGTTTTGTCATAAATCATAAAAATACAATAAATACAATATATTTAGTTATGTTTCTGTGGTGGCGAACAAACGTTTCGTGAAAATATCCACCCCCTGTCATGTGTCCACGAGAAGTTTTCGCGAAGATTGCGCGTGACTTTCAAATGATTTGTTTTTTATTTTGAACCTAAATGGTATACGGGAGGGTTTTTCCTTCCAAATGGGACAAATATTGTCAAATTTTCGATTGGGACTATTCTACAATGAAGTACTCTTGGATACGTTAATCTAAATACATATGAAAACGAAGAAGTGGCATTTATCGGACAGAGAAGCGGCGAGCCATTAAAATGGCGGCAATTTGACGAAATATCGAAGGACACAATATCGAAGGTAAAATACACTGCACTGTTTCACAACTTCATGAAACTTGGTTGAAATCTTCTTTAGCCCTTTATGATTATGTAAAAGTACAACAACTGCAGGATGATATTTGCGAGACTCGGCGATAAAAAGCAAACAAGACGGCAAAGTATGGCTGAAATCGTGTTTTCGTGGGGGGTAAGTGAAATAAAATGTGTTATATTAAAAGAAAACAATGACAATCCTCATGAAATCCACAATAATTATATTGAACTAAGCATAATTTTTCATCCCATGATAATTTTTTTTAGGAAATAGGAAAACTTAATTTCTGCCAGGCATATTAGTTATTTTGTGCATAATCATCAATTTACCTGGGGTGGTGCATAGTCATTTTCTGGTAAAATATTATACTTAGACAAATTTTTCCTTCCAATGACCACCCCTAAAAGCAACCCTTCTGAACACCATAAGCACTTCAGAAAGGCTGTCGCTTTCCCTTTTCGGAAATTAGAGCTATGTCGACACTGCCGTTTCAGGGCGGGGTCATTTTCAGGACTTTCGTCCCAGATTCAGGTTTTCGCACATATGCCATGTTGACCGCCATGGTCATTTTACCCTAAAACAGTCGAGATTACCTGTCCTAAATGAATCGCATACAAACTCATATACTGGTCCTAGACTAAATGTTTTCGCAGAATGTGTGCATTTTGTCTTTTCGGATCAAGAATAAGGGAATATTGTAGAGAATTTTTTTAGCTTCAATTTAAGCCTAAGTTAATTTGTTTGCGTAGTATGTTGGCGGCTAAAATGTTCGTTGTCCAGACAAGAAATTATATACGAAAATGCGTAAATTCTTCAGTACTTTTTTACCGAAATGGCATGTGATAACCTCTCTCACTGCTTTTAAGACAGGTTTAGAAGCCTTCTTATTAATAAATAATCGATCTGACTCCCACACGGCAATCAGGTAGAACAGTATCTAATATTTCTTTTTGCTCCTTTTTAAAATATTTTAATATTTTTGTAAATAATTATACTGATGACTCTCCGTATTTAAATAAAGTTGATGTATGTATGTATGTATACATGTATGAAAACCAAGCATACTTGCAGGTTAGGTGAGTCCGGGATTGGACGCACCTCGGGTGGCTGGAAGTTTCCCGAACCCAACTCGCTTCGCTCGGTGAATTCCGGAAACTTCCAGCCACCCTCGGTGCGTCCAATCCCGGACTCACCTCCCTGCAAGTATGTTTATTATAAAACCGTGACAGTTTTGGTCGTAATTGAAAACTAAGTATTTGAAAACGTCGACAATTCGAGCAAATCACTTTGTCTGGAACAACGAGCTCCATAAAGATCCAGAGCGAGAACTCGAGTCCAAAAAGTGAAGCCAAAATGGCGGAAATTGAAGAGCTGTTGGACGTCAGTTCCAGTCCCTTTCTATTGTTTTTGTCTGTAACGTTCTTGCTCCGGAAATATGAGAAATGCTATGTCTGCAAGTTACTATACTATACGAAAGACATGTAACGACTCAAAATCACGATAAATCTAACATGAGCTGAAGATACTGTTCAACCAAGAATTTTGAGACATGATTCCAGACACTTCGGGCCAGCTTTTGTACCCACATTTGGGTACAAAACACGTTGGGCCAGCTTTAGTACGTATCACAGTTACCCCGATTTACAAATGTGATAAACAATGAGTTCTCGTCAAAGCAAGCGAAGTTCAAAACTGATGTATTCAAATTTTAAAACTAGATTTAATCTTATTACATTCCCAATTACAACTATAATCACTACAGGATCCGTAATTCTTCTATTACAATACATTAATTGTCGAAATTATTCAAACGTATGTGTTGTTTTGAACTAAACACTTTCCAGCCTCGGAATCATTTGGCATTTCTATCTTGATCTCCTCCGCGCTGCTATTGCTGCTGTTTTTGTTATTAAACTCCATCAGAGGTTGTGGATCATTCTTCTTCTGCCTTAGTTCAATGGACATGTGTTTATCCAATTGATCAACCGCAAGGAAATAAACTAGCATCGTCAAAGCATCTTCTACTAGGTTACCTTGAATTCCACTGAACTGTCGAATCGAACTTCGTATCCCCACGACGTATGCGAAGAAACCACAGAGAACAGCCCAACCGACAAACATCAAGTTTTCTTCAACATGATAAAGCATGATTAGGAGGAACCATGTGTAGAACAATACTGCCATGATAAGCATGTACCGCCATGGATGTTTGTTGTAGAGCTTCCCCGCGGCACGGCCAGCAGGCCACCATGGAGCTACGATGGCGAGTAAGATTCGTTGACAGTTTCTTGTTGATGGATTATCGATAACTTCGAGCAGTCCAGCATGGAATTCCTTCTCGTTGTCGTTGACATCGCCGTATTCGGATTTAAATATTCTCCACAATGCGACACAGAGGAGGGACAAGATTGGGGCAAATGGCAGACCAGAAGCAACGGCAGCAGCAAGGACAGCATCAATAGCTCGTTTCCCACCAGCTGTGAGTAAGGCAGTAGCAGTAGCACCTTCGGTCAGCGCCCAGAACACACGTTGAGTGACCGGAGGATCTGGACTGCCATTGGCCGAGAGACAATCAATCACGAGGGAGCCACTATCGGAACTTGTCACGAAGTACAAGAGAATGCTGACCAACGAAAGAAGCCGAAGGAATTTTCCAACGACACCGCCATATTGCTGGATTAAATCAAAATACATTTGACTTTGTCCACGACAATGTAGTCGATACAATCCTTCGAGTGGTTCAGTTGAGTTTCCACCACCGAGACGGGAATCGCATTCAATGCCCTTTAGAGCTGCTTCACGTTCCATATTTATACCAGAACCACCAACTACGACAAACCACAAAAAGGTGAACATGATGGGTGCTGTGAGGGTGGAGTTGATGAAATTTCGTACTGTTCTTCCTTTAGATATCTTCGCAATAAACATTCCAACAAACGGTGACCATGATATCCACCATCCCCAGTATGCGATGGTCCAATTATGCATCCATTGAGGATCTTCTTTCTTGTCTGGAGCGTTGCCCAGTTGAGCGTAGGCATCAGTATGGAAGCCAAGCTGGATTACATTTTGAATGTAGTAGCCTATGCTTTGTACATAAAGATTAAGGAGGAAGAATGTTTCGCCACAGAATAAGATTATTAACATGATAAATATACCAAGAACGAAACAGATTTCACTCAGTCGACGAATGCCAAGCCTGAGACCAGACACAACAGACATGGTGGCGAAGAACGTAATTACCCAGATGACAATTGTTTGGTTGGCCGTGTTCATTTCAATGGAATCATTAAGTTGATTTAAACCCGAATTCATGGTCATTGCTCCAGCACCGAGACTGGCACAAACGCCAAACATGGTCGATACAATTGCGACTATCTCGATGATATCTCCCATGATGCCAAAGATCCGGTCACCAAGAAGAGGATAGAAGCACGAACGTATTGTCATTGGCAATCCCTGTCTGTGAGACACCATACCCAGTGCAAGTCCCACAACCGCATAGACAATCCAACCGTGAATTCCCCAGTGGAATAAAGTGACGTTAATCGCATCTTGAGCTCTTTGGTTATCAGAGACTCTGTTATTGAATAAATAATATAATTGAATAAATAATAAAATTGGCATCAACAGACATTTTTCAAACAGATGGCGGCCAACAAGGGCAAGAGGTGTGGAAATCAAAGAATAAAACAACTGAAGCATGAGTGCTAATAAAAATAACTCTAACAAGCTATCTTAAAACCAGTACACAATACAATCACGGAAAATAAAGGAAGGAATTCCATATGAACATCTTGGTCATGAAAAACGACCCCCCCCCCCAACCCACCCCTGCGTAAATAAACCCAAATTTGTTCGTAACTGGGCGAGATGTCTCGGTATATGCGCAGGCAACAAGGAGGAATTTCGTTCTCGACCAATCAATGCATTTGTTGACATTTTCGCTCTAAGTCAATCAGAATGCGTAATTGGTACTACTTCCGGTAAAAACACACATTTGAACAGAAAATATAGGTTCTTAAATAAAGCTTCGAGGGGGTCAGGATTTTTTGATAGGACTTAACGTGACAAGGTAAAATAAGAAATTTTCTAAAAATTTGCCTCTGGGATTTGCGTTTTATTGCCTAGTTTTAAAGTTATCGGCATTCGAACAGCGGTGTATCCTGATCCCATCGAAGCTTTATTTAAGACCCTATATTTTCTGTTCAAATGTATGTTTTAACCGGAAGTGGGCTTTCCGTGCTGCAGGGAAACTACCTACAATAACCAATTACGCATTCTGATTGGCTTAGAGCGAAATTGTCAGCAAATGCGCTGATTGGTCGAGAACGAAATTCCTCTTTGTTTGCGCAGGCGTATACTATATTATAATAAATCATATACTCATGCTCGGCGTGAGAAACTGTTAATTATCGCTTAGGAGTTAGCGGGAAGTTCACAAGCATTGCATCACAGAGTAGATACTTTACAGAGATGCGACTCAGCAAAAAAACCGTAACGGCTGCCATTATTGCAACAATTCGCCATCGACATGCATTCGCCAAAATCATAGGCGCCGAGAAGAAGTCGGGCTTCTGCATGCGCCCGTACCTGTTCGGAATTTTAATGAGTAAGTTAGTGGGGGTAGGGGCTAATCGCCTTACTTGCAGCAGAGAGGTAAGCTTAATTGCGAACGAGACAGTTTTGGCTTTCTAAGGGACCGCTCATTATTTATTGTACAGGGGGGGATTGAGGAGAAACTGGGGGGGCCTTCAAATTTTTCAAAACCTGAAAGGGGGGGCTTTGAAAAAATACATGGAGACGAAAGAAGGGGGGCTTTGAAAATATTTACCAGTTTGAAAAAACAGTAGTTTTAAAAATGTATCACAAAACAACTTAACAACAAATAACAATA